ATGCTCTCCTGCTTGGCAGTGATCACTGGCTATAAGAAAGGGAGGCTGGAGAGTTTGGCTCCCAGTTCAGACAGAATTCACTGTGAATGCTAGTTATGTAACAGAGCCTTGATGCTAAAGTGATGGGCACATCAGAACCGCCTGGACTGCAGTTGCAGCCTTTCTGTTGTGGGTCTGCTGTAAAGGAGAGATTAAGAACTATGGCAAATGCTGGTCTAGTCCATCCTGAGATTAAACTGACTCAAGCACCCACAGCAAGGAGCTGGTTCAGTTGTGTAAGCAAGGAAAGCTGGCTGAGTTGTTTGGATTGCTATGCTTGAGAGAGATGCAGAGAAGCAAGTCTGAAGCCTGTACACAGCACCCTGCGCTTGCCGCTACAGAGGGATGCTCAAGCTTGTGCGACATAAATGCCAGCAGACAAGAACGGACCAATAGCCCATCTAGTCTGGTATCCTGTCTCTAACTATAGGAGGTGTAAAACCCTATAGGCCATAATGTACCTAACATCTGATACTGAATCATTGCAGGGGAGAATTCAGGTGCTCAGGTAATGCCTTGAAGCGTGACAACTGTTGGCCCTTATAAATATTCCCCTCGCTGGTGCCTCTGCAGATGCCATTTCTACTCATAAAGTGTGACATTATTTTACAATGCAGTGGGTCTAATTTTCAAAGCTATTAGCAAAAATGCATAGGTAGTTATTGAGGTTTCACTTGGGCTTTGGGTATCTCCACATGCCAAGTGCTAGCCATGAGTCTTACTAGCTATCACACGCACAAATAGTAAATATGTACATTTGCCTCTAGCTTTTTGAAAATCATGCTCTCTAGACTATACTAAGCTATAATGATGCACTAATAGATTGTGGCTGTGTTTCACTTTTTTATGTGTTGTAGCCATGTTGGTCCCAGGAGAGACAAGGTGTGTGAGGTAATATTTTTTATTGGATCAACTTATCTTGGTGAGAGGGAGACGCTTTTGAGTTTACACAGATCTCTTCGTCTTCAAATATCTTTGGACCAACACCGCTACAACAGCGCTTCTCTATACCAGTCATTATTTCCTATATTCAGACAAATTCAAGATACATAGGTTACAGAAAATGGGTGCATACGTGTGTGTGTGTGTGTGTGTGTGTGTGTGTATGTATGTGCAGAGCTTGGGCTATTTGCCAAAGAAAAAGGACCCAGCCACAGCTGAGCTGCAGGCAGGATGGGTGGATGAACAAGATCAATGGGTCCCTTCTGGATTTTAATGACTAGGAGGAATGTCACTGCATTAGACTGAAACCCAACAAATCAAATCTGTTTTAACTATGGGCATTCACTGGGCACGTCCAGCACACCAGGGTTTTGCTCCCTCTCAGGAGAGTGTCTTAAGCAGGGAGCAATCAGGTGCTTTAAGGGAAATGTCCTCTCTGAATTTATTACTGGTGAAAGGTGCTAGATTGACAGGCCTGGAGGGCAAAGTCTTCTGTCCAGACATTCACTGTCTCACCAGCATTTCTCCTCTCTATCCTGGAAGGACAAGTGCCCAGGGTGGGAGAGTTCAGTCTCCATGACCTCTCTGCTGAGACAGCCAATAGGTGGCCAGTTGTGCTGATGTGGACACTCACCCACTAGGAACTTGACTGAGCCCCTCCACATATATTTCCTGTAGGCCACAAGCAGCCACCAAGAGCTGGTAACTTTCTGTCACAACTGACCTGAGCTGCATTAGGACACCCTGATCTAGGCTCCATTGACTGTTACCAAACCCTGAGCCATCCAGTTCCCCTCTGGGCTTGATTTTTAAATACATAGTATCACAATAACTGAAGAACTACATTGCACCCTGCCTGCCTCTCTGGGCAGTGAAACACACCTGAAGGCCTTACAGTTGCTGGTTTGAAGTGCTTTGGGGGTGTGCTTTTGTCTTCTTTTCTCATAGCTGCAAAGGCTTTTAAAGTGCGACGTCCAAGGCAAGTGACTGGGAAGAAGCAAGCTCTGGAGGGAGGATTCTGTCCCTCCTGGGCCAGGACTTCTGGCTCCACTGCTCCTCCCAAGTTCACCATGCCCAGGGTCTTCGGACCTTTTCCTGAACTGATGAGCAAGCAGGTTTGTACTTGGATCTTCCACTAATATATTCCTAGGCACCCCAGTCCTGACATATTGTCAAGCCATGCAAGTCGTCCAGGCTGCCTGGGGTCTCTGTGCTACCCTCACTGTAGCAGAGTACACATGGCACCTGTCCCAGGCTGCAGGCCTCTCTAGTGTGAAGGTAACTCTGACTGTGGGCATTAATACAGGAGCAGGAAGCAAGGCTCTTCCAATAGGACGAAGCCCTCTCTCAGTAGCTACTCCAGCCCCAGGCTCTCCCCGCAGAGATTCTGTAGGAAAGGGGCAGGAGCACTGGCTGTGGGGGAGCTCACAGCTACTCCAAGTCTAGCCTCCTCAGCAGAGGTCCTGTAGAGAGTGGGGTAGGCATGCTACCAGCATCTCCATCCCAGCTTTAGCCTTTCCCAGCAGGAGCACTGACTGGTGGGTTAGCTAACTTGCTTGTGAAGAAATAGTGCTTGTGCCGTTGTCCAACGAGTATTTTTATTTCCAATAGATGGACAGAACAACAGCTTCGAACACTGACCTGAAGCAGCACTGGGCTGGGGTGTCGACAATGAACCAAAAGAGGTTTGAGGCACTGGGGAGGGTCAGTATTGGCTAGGAGAGGGTGAGAAAGCAAGGAGGAGAGGAAGCACGTCCCCACTTCCTTATAAGTGACGGGGTGAGGGGGAAGTGAACGTGTGATGGAGTTGGAGGGAAGCAGGCACTTGTCGGTTGTGGGCTGAACACACATTTGATGCCCTTCAGCCCCTGTAACGCTGCTCCTCCTGCAGCCTGGTCAGTGTGACGCAGGGATGTCTTCCCTTTTGTCTGTTCCTATAGGACTACTACATCTCCCCCCTCAGGTGCCCCTGTCCTCCGGGAACCAGGGTGAACAACAGGGCACTGCACAGTTTGGCTGCGGTGAGTGTTAGCTCTCTTCCTGAATGCCTTGTCTTCCAACAGCATGATCGATCTGCATCCTGTAGTGCTGAACCCTGGTGGCTTCCAGGCCTCCCTCCAGGCTGGTAACCACCTCAATAAGCTGAGGTACACCAGTCTCTCCAGGTAGGTCTCATTAGTTACCCGCTATCTCAGGGCCAGATTCTGATCTTCTTGTTCTTTCTGAGTAGAACTGTACTGCACAAACAGTCCCAGTGAAGAAATGGCAGAAGGTGCTGCTTCATGTGAGAAAGGGATGAGAATATGGCCCTTGGGGAGGGGCCTTTTGGCTCACTGTGGGATCTCCTTTTTAGGGAAGGAAAGGGGAATTTGATTACACATGAAGGGCTCTGATCCTGTTCTCACTGAAGTCAGTGATGGCCAAGCTTCCGCTTCAGCAGAAAGAAGGAATCCCATCATCTCAGCCTTATGCTGGTCAAAAACCTCCATAGCGAAGAAAAGGTTAAAGTCCATTGCATAAGAGTGCTAACAAATGAAGCAATGCAGTTTAGAGGATTGACTCTGCAATGATCAGATCCTTGATTGGGAGTGGGAGAAGAGGCAGTGTAGTGGTAGTGAAGAGGCTGTAGTGCATTCGTATACCATAATACTCTGTGCAAGTAGGTTCTGACCACTGGGAATTCATTCCATACCATGCTGTTCCTGTGTATTTATATGTACCTCATGTAAACCATTAGAGGAATATGGCTTAGCCTGATTTATCAGTAATGCCTGAAGGGTGCTGTGACTCCTTACACCGGTGATCAGCTGCTTGTACTGAACAAATAGGGATAGGTGAAAGAGGTTAGCTACCCATCACATTACTTCTCCCTGGCGAGCCTCACTGGAAATATTTTCTTGTTCTAGGCCTCCTGGGAACAGTCCCAACCCTTCTCCACAAAAGGCAGGCCCTTCTGACATGAAACCCACACCTTCTGTTTTCGACACTCCCATGCTGTCCAGGTTTCAAGGTGGCTCAGAAGATGACATGGATAATGAGAAACCTGGCCCCAGTTCCCCTCCAAAGGGGGCATAATTGTCTCTTCCTGTATGGAAAGTTGTTACATGAATAAAAGTTCCATGCACGCTCCTTGATTGTGGGTGAGAACTCTGCTAGGTGTAGGAGCAATGATGTTAGTACAAAGAGAATAGCTGATCGATTGCTTGGGAAGCTTTGGCAGGTGGGGCAATTCTAATAGGCCAGAGTTGACATGATACTTGTGAGCATGAGCAAACAGACCTCTGATTCATTGCAAAGGTGTTCCCCTTTAGGTAGAGCTGGTGGTCTGTGGGCAGGGGGACATTAAGCTACCTCACTTCAGATGGCATGTGTAGCAGGCTCTCCTCTAGCTTATTAGTTACAGCTGTCCTTGTCTGGATTTCAACAACTGCATGAGCAGGGAAAAGCTCTGTGTCACATAAGCAGCGCTCCCCACTTTGCTACTTGAAGGGGCAGTGTCCTTTCAGCAAGTGACCACAGCAGTCCTGGCCCTGTGCAGTTATTATTATTCTCTTTGGAAGGTTACTGTAGGAAACTGCCCTTGAAGATGGCACTGGAGCATTTTAATCTGCATCCTGAATGGAATCTTAAGGACTCACCACAACACTGACACCCACTTATAGCAAGCAGGTCAGCTCAAAGACCCAATGTTCACCCAGCGCACACTTCTGCCTCTCAATCTGTATACAGCGAAATAGGTCTTAAGGGACCAACAGAAATTGGTAGCTTAACAGAGGTGGATCTTCTCTTAGTGGTGGGTGGGGCAAAATGAGGGATGGGGATATTTTGGGCTGGTCTGTTTAGACAGACAGTTCCCTAATCAGGGTGGTCTCTTGTGCAGGTGTCGTCGTATTACTCTTTTGCTTCATCTAGTGCTAATAATTTCAGCTTGAATTTCTGAACTGGAAAAATTAATCTGACGCAGGCATGAATTTGACTGATTCATAGGAGGGGAAAAAATTCCAAAGCAGCAACATAAATCTTGTAAGCAATTTTTTAATTTAATTACACACTGAAAATCTACTCCCAACTGTGCATTCCTGAGAAGGTAATAGTTTAGTTAGAAGCAGCTCTGGTAAGACTGATTCAGTGAAACTCCAGCAATATCCCAGTAATTTTTTTTTTAAGGTTCAAATAGGAGCCAGGAGTAGCTGCAAAATTGTACAGCACCTCCCTCTGGCCCAGTAATGCTCAGCCTTCTCCCTGCTAGAAGAAGAGGATTTGTTCAACTGATAACCCACCCCTCAAAGAAGTCTCTCTCTGGAAAGCAGCTGCATTTAGCAGGTCCCCTTGTTCAACTTCTCTGCTGAAAACTTCTTTTTTAGTTCAGGTTCCTCCCAGCTCTGGGAGAGCAGAGTTCCGGCTTCACGGGGCCTGTCTTATGCCATCCCCTCTCACCTGCTTGTGACATTAGATCCCCCAGCTGTTAAAACCCTCTTCAGCTCTGTGCTCTCCCTGCCCCCTATTCCAATTTGTCTAATCCCTCCTCTAAGCTCCCCTTCCCCAACCCTCCTCCTGGTGCCAATTGTAAGAGAAGTGTCTTGGTTTGGAGATGCAAAAGTCTGATCACGCTGTCCCAGCACCTTGCAGTGAAGGCAAAGCAGAGGCACAGTAGACTGTAGGGACAGGTAGGGCTGAGAGAATCTCATACCAGACGCTTCCCACCCCTCCTGCTTCCAGGTAAATGGAGACCATAGTTCAGTGCAGGAAGCTGATCTGATTGGAACGGATGATGGTTTGCTGCCCTCTGCTGGTCTCATCAAAAGATGCACCTTTAGATCTCACCTCTTTTTGCCTCCTGGGTTGAAATAGCCTCTCAAGAGATTGTGATGGGTCAATAAGCACCTGACAATATGAGGAAAAGAAATTGCTTTATGCTGATTATTATTTGTATTACCATAGCACCCAGATGGAACTTGATACTTTAAAAATCAGTGCCCAATTAGCTGTTTGCAATCCTACGAGACAGTGTTTTTGTATTACCACATCCGTAAACTTTGCACTAAAAATCACAGTGCACAATGGACCTTGGTGAGTCACTTTTTTTTTAATGTCCTGACACCAAGTTTCAACGATGTGCTGATCAGCCACTTTGTGACCCTGTAGCTACTCCCTGGGGGCTTTCTGCTAACTGCCTTGTTAAAGTAACTATCTGATTGGAACCCAAAGACACCAGAAAACTAAAGAATCAAGTCTGAAAATTCCTCTCGCCCCATTCTCTGGGAGGATTAGCATCCTTGGAGCCATTCTCAAACCCAAAGAAGTCAATGGGAATTAAGGGTCCCCAGCACCTTTATTTAAGTTCATTAATTTGTAGGCAGTCAGCCTTCCCCATCAGGACTGCATCAGTCAGAGCTGAAACTACATGACCAAGTGTTGGCACCTGTTACTGGGATGGCTTTTTGGTCGGCTGATCTCAGTCCCTATCCGGCCAGAAGTGCTCAGCATTTGAAGGGTGTACAAGGACCTCCTGCTGCTCAGTGGGTGTGACTGACAATCCCACGTCAGCTTGTCATAGGTAAGGCCGGGGAGTTTACTCACCACGAACAGGGTACTTACCTTGAGTGGGTGCAGGTGCCTAGCTCACTAACACTAGAAGCTGGATCACCGCGGGACAATCAAAGGCAGTAACTCCCCACACCGGGAATTCAGTTTCATGGATGCAAAGTGATCTGACCTTGTGGGTCCAATATTAATGATCACAATTGGCAGCTTCTTCTCATGGGCAGCAAGTGCAAACCTGTAACCAGAGTACACCTGCAGGGACACAAAGGAACAAAGTGATGAGGAGCCTGGACAGAGGAAGAGCTATAGAAAGTAACAGTCCGCATAGGCCATTGCCCAGTGGTGGGACATGATTGTTCCCTCTGGTGTATTTGCAGATACAGACTACACAGAAGAATGCTACATAAACTACTCTTCATTCAAGCACTAGATCCTTTCTTCAAACCTGTACAGGATGGGAGCAGCTGCTATTTAACTCCTAACAGGGGAAAGATTTTCAATACTTTGGAAAATATTCCCCCTTCAATGGGTTTTCGTGACTTTCCTTGCCACCGTTAGGTAGTTATCATAGGGCCCTGCTTATATGCTTCCACCTTCGTGGCCTATCTCCTCTGCCCATTTGGTCCTGCTGGTGAAGTCCGGGGATAAACGTGAGACCTTGATCGCTTCCAGGGACAGGATTATGACTTCACTTGAGGCTCAAGAAGCAGTTTGGCCCCAAGTATCCTGAAGAGGTAAGGATTGGAACTCAACAGCCTTGGCCTTACCCACTCACATCAGCCCTTGAGACGTGTGTGAGCATTTTACAGTGCAACTTCATTCTGTAAAGTAGCTTTCATGTAAGTTTTGTCCCAGACTCCTTCCCAGGTTAAGTGGGAGTCAGGATAAATAACAGCAAAGGCAAGAAGTAGCTAACGGAGAAAAAAAGATTTTTTATTTTATTTTATATTTTATTTTATAATGGAGATATCCATCTCCTAGAACTGGAAGGGACCTTGAAAGGTCATTGAGTCCAGCCCCCTGCCTTCACTAGCAGGACCAAGTACTGATTTTGCCCCAGATCCCTAAGTGGCCCCCTCAAGGACTGAACTCACAACCCTGGGTTTAGCAGACCAAATGCTAAGATGGCAAAGCAAAGAAGGGGAGCTGCCCAGCAGGGCTGTTTCAGAAAGCAGGTGAAGGCTCTCTGCTCCCTCATCTGCTTCAAGTTTTTTCAGCAGTCTTATGAGGAATTCACTTGCAACTCTGTTCTCTCCTGGCAGAGAACGCTCTATGCCAGTCTGCTTCCTGCAGGTCTCCAGCCCAGTAATGTATAAGCCTTCCCACACTAGAGACAAAGTTATTTCAGGTTGCCATTCCCATAATGCTAGGGCGTTAGAGGAATATGTTAGAAAATTCAAAGGAAAACTTGAAGTGGGGGTGAAGAGGGATTTTGCAGCACTCAGGGGTCCCATAACTTCCTGATATTTCACATCGGTCTTAATAGGGTGCTAAAGACAAAAGGTTTGGGCAAGAAAAGGTGGGACCGTGATCTTTGCAGGGTTAATCTATATCTAAAGTCAGGGCTACCTGGGCAACCGTGGAGATTAAGAAAGTCTAGCTGGGATAGCAGTGGCAGATCAGAGCAGTATCAGGGAAATGGCTAAGTCAGACTGGCACTGAAGTGAAAAGCACATTATAGGTACCCCAAGGGATGGCTGTGAAGCCAGATTATAAAGAGAGTAGAACAAAATACTAGGAAACTCTGGAGACTGGATTGAGATAAAAGGGATGGTGGTCCCAGATTATGGGACCAGGGAAAATTGCAGAGACAGTAGCCCTGAAAAATAGGAATACAGAGAGGAGAGATGAGCAGTTACCTGCAAAGAGGATCCTGCCACCAGCATGGAATCTGATTCAGCCAGGCGCTTGTGCACAAAGTCCACTTTCTCCCGGCTAACTGTGTCCCCGAAGAACGTTACATCTGGCTTCAGGATCCCACCACATTTGCTGCAGGCCGGGACGCGGAAGTTATGCACCTGCTCCTCCGTGAGGAAGACATCCCCATCAGGGGCTATGCCATGTGCTTCAGCTCTCCAGGTGGGATTTAGCGCTTCAAAGTGCTTCTGAAGCTCAGAGCGGGGAGTTTGCTCTCCACAGCCGAGGCAGAGAACCCTGAAACAAAGTTCATGGTCTTTCAAAGGGCCCCATCTCCACTGGGCTGCAGCGATTCACTGAGCCAAAGATTTTAAGGCCATCTAATCTAATCATCATCTGACCTCCTGCATAATACAGGCTCGAGAATGTTACCCAGTCATTCCTGGGTGAAGGCTGGAAGGCCCAATATGGCCCTCACAACTCTGTGTTTAACTATGACCCTGAAGGAAACTGCCCTATGGGAGCAGGTGGGTTCTAAAGAATATGTGATCTAAAGCAGTGCTTTTCAACCTGTGGTCCATGGACCCCTGGGGGTCCACACACTATATCTAAGATTTCCAAAGGGGTCTGCACCTCCATTCAAAATGTTTAAGGGTCCACAAATGAAAAAGGTTGAAAACCACTGCTCTAGAAAGTCAGAATGGCTCAAGAAGAGATCTAAGGGTACGTCTTCACTAGCAACGTTAAAGCGCTGCCGTGGCAACACTTTAACATGGCTGTCTAGTTGTGGCACTATTGCTGGGAGAGAGCTCCCCCAGTGCTCTAAAAAGAGCACCCCCACGAGGGGAGTAGCTACCAGCACTGGGAGCACAGCTACGAGCGCTGGTGCACTGTCTACACTAGCGCTGAAACTTGCATCACTTGGGGGGGGGGTGTTTCTTCACGCCCCCGCGTGAGAAAGTTTCAGTGCTGTAAAGTGGCAGTGTAGGCAAGGCCTAAGTCCTCTACCTACTTCCCACCTCCATCCTCACCAGCCGGGGGCTATTCATGGTTTTAGCATTGCTCTGAACTATCACCACAGGTTCAACTTCCAACAGTGTCAACTCAGCCCAGCATCCTTCCAAGGCAGATAAACTAGCTGCCATGTTGTTTACTGTATGTGCAGATCTTTCCTACAGGGCCTTCAAACATTATGGTCCCATCTGCTCTGTGTAGACATTAATGTACCTTGGGATCTTTTGGTAAGTGGCCTTGGCTAAAATTCCCCCTCCATTTCTGTGGTGCAGAGTGCTGCTCTCCCTCCCAAGAAGTGGCTGCACAGCAGTGGTGCTGTGTACATACAGTATGCAATGTCTGCGGCATGTACTATCCTTGCTGCACTTGTCTCCAAACAGGTCCACCTTCTGTGCTTCCAGCACAACACACTGATTTCAGCCCCATTTAACTTTCCCTGCACACTCATGGTTCCTGTACCCCTTCTTACCCTCACTGAGAGGACTTTAGATATGACAAAAAAGGAGAAGCTCCTAATTGTAACAGACTAAAGGGGAAACGAGTCAAACAGTGCTGCACAAAAGGTGTGTGAAACGTGGGAGCATCTGGGCATAAGATGTTCTGCCCCTTGAACAGCATCTGTGGATAAGCCACCCTCCCACCATAGCATGGCAACTCTGTGCTCACCTCCCCCGCAGTCAAGCAGCACCTTTATGTTGTCTCACCTGTGTAGTAACATGACATCTTTACATAATTCCTTGTGGCCCCCCCCCATAACACCACACCCATTTATAAGCTACCCTCCCACCCATAAGATGGTACCTGTGCATTAACCATCTTTTCCCTAACCCTGTAGAGTACCTGTGTGTGCAGCCATGCAATTCCATTACCCGCTGACTCCCGGCCTTGATATGCAGGGCATCCACATTCTGGGTCACCAGCCAGTGCAGCTTTCCTAGCTTCTCCCAGTTTCTTAAGGCCAGGTGCGCTGCATTAGGCTGGTGAGAGGAGAACTGGGGCCAGCCCACAAAGTTCCTTGCCCAGTACCTTTGGCGGGCACTGGCACTGCGAACAAACTCAGCATGCTGGATGGGTCGCCTGTCTGTCCTGGCATAAAGCCCCACCCCTTCTGAGCGGTAGTCTGGGATCCCTGATTCAGTGGAGATTCCAGCACCGGTCATTACCAACAGCCTCTGGGAATGAGAAACGAAGCGCTGCAGTGCCTCCACTTCCACGGCATCTGGAGGAGGGCTGGCTGGCACAAAGGCCAGGTTTGGAGCAGCCTTGGCCACGGAGTGAGATCTGTAATGCTGGAGCCCGAGGGCTCTGCAACCTTCCGGCACCTTCAAAGCACAGTATATGCTCATCTAGGATCCAAGGTGAATATATGGCAGTTAAATCTTAGAACACAGAGCTCTTCCTTAACTACAAGGTTACTTTTTCTTTGGCTACTGTGAGGAATTCATGATGCTGATAATGATACTTTGTCCTTCTCTTCTGCCTTCTAGTCAACAATCCCAAATCACTTTGGACACATTAATTAATTAAACAGCACCTGCGAGGAAAGCATTATTAGCCTCTTTTTCCAGCTAGAGAAACTGAGGCATAGAGAGGAGAAGTAACTTTCCCATGGTCATGCACTGAGTCAGTGGTAGAGCTGGGACTAGACACCAGAACTCCTGACTCCCAGCCCTGTTTCCTACTCGCAGGTCTCACCCTTCCTCCTGGGTGGACAGGCAGCCCCGCCCCCCCGCAAGTGGGGAAACTTGGAAGAGATGGGGCCAGTTCTTCACATTTTATGACTTTTTTTAAAGGGACACCAAGGCAGGGGAAAGCCAGAATCTACCTATCGCATGGCTTTACACTGGGTTGCAGTTGGACAGCGTCCCTTTCAGGCACATGTGACGGGCACCAAGACTGGCAGTGGAGAGATAGGGTAAGAGAAACGCAGGGATGTCAAGCCCATCTCCACTGGCCTTGCCTGGTTTGGGAGCCCAGTTTCTCCTCAGGTGGGACCTTTGCTCTGCTGCTCTCAGTGCAGAGTTTTCTCCAAATCCGGTGGGGAGCAGCCCACACTGAATCAACATCACACGGAGCGAAGCCCTCACCACAGCAGCAACCCCTATCTTCAGAACCCCTCCCCACAGATGATGCCCCTCCACGCCACTGGCCTCTGATGAGGGGAAGGCAGAGATGACTTGCCTTGTTGTCTCCCCGCTCTCCAGGATAGAGGCCCTGCTGGTAGAGATTCCTTCAGCATCCCATCCTTTTGGGCAGGAGAGTATGGAGCCTCTGGCTGTTACAGAGCCTGGGCTAAACAGGCCTTGAATTGGTGGGTGAGTTTGTAACCTAAGCTGCCTACCAAGCCAGTCACCATTTTGGGCACCATCCCCCTCAGTATGAGCAAGAGGGGAGGCAGGAATGGGGCCTATCTCTGCTGCTTCTCTAACAGCAGGGAGGCCTGGGTTCAGTGTGTCTCTGAGCTGCTGCTCCCTTACAGGGGTCTGGAGGGAACCAGGAACAGAGGGGCCCAGTGTAGGAGGAGCAGCTGGGCGATGGAGACCGACAAAGGGGCCACAGAGTGGCCCACAAACAGTAGGGGACAAGATTAAATGACTCAGGGAGGGGAGAATGGATTTTGGAGAGCTAACAATGTAAATTGGCTGCGGGGGGAGAATGGATTTTGGAGAGCTAGCAATATAAATTGGCTGGGGGAGGGGAATTGATCTGGGGACAGGAGAGGCATTGATTGACTTTGGCGATAGGTTGGGAAAGAGTCAAAGAGCATAGAGGAGGAATGGCACAAGGAGAGACATTTGTCCACCCTATTTTCAGGAGATTTTTGTCCACTCTGTAATTTTCCTGTGTAAAAAGAGCATTTAAAAAAACCAAAATCAAACAATGGAGGGGATGAACTGCCTGGAGATCTCTGGAGACTGAGACAAGAGGATAGAAAACAGGGAGAGAATTTGTAATTCACGCCAAATAGATCAGCTTAGGCCAGCATGGGAGCCTAAAATGAAGAGCCTGATTTGCAAAGGTAGGTGCTGAGTGCCAATTACAGTCAATGGAGGTTGCAGCTGCTCAGCATCACTGAAAATGTGATCACTTTCTTAGGTACCTAAATATGGATTTAGGTACCTAATTTTAGGCACCCACATCTGAAAAGTTTGGCCTGGATTTTTTCAAGGTATTAGGCCTTGCCCCGCTCAGCATTGCAAGGCCTAAGGCCCAGACCCTCAAAGGTTTTGGGCGCCGAACTCCCATTGAGTTCACATCTACCCAACTGGGCCCCGCAAGCAAGATAGGTGAAGAAATAACTAATTTGTGAATCCTGAAGGGGCCTAGTTGTGAATTAGGTGCTAAGCTGCTGGACAGGGTCAGGACTGAGGCAGAGGCAGCCGAGCCCAAGCCCAGACACCAAAATGTAGGTGCATCAGAGACTTTAACAGCAGAAACGTAGATGCCTAGAAACATGAGGCACCCACAGGCTTACGCAGCAGCTGAGCAGGGATTTTGTGAGTGCTAGTGGCACCTAAATATTGGATGTAGGCACCTGAATTGGCAATTAGACACCTAATGTCTATGCTATAGCCACTACTGTGGCACAGCTGTGGCCCTGCTGCTGTGATGATGTAGCGTAGACACTTCTTACATCGACGGAAGGGGTTTTACTGATGATGTAGGTAATCCATCTCTCTGAGAGGAAGTAGCTCGGTCTACCTAGCCATGTCCACACTGGGTGTTAGGTCAACCTAACTACGGTGCTCAGGGCGCAAAAATTTTCACAACACAGCTAGGTCGGCCTACGTTTTAGGCGTAGACCAGGCCTCAGTCTGACTTGTAAATCCCTCCCCGAAATGTGTTTACAAATCTGGGACCTATAGCTGAATTTTTTAATGGGATTTAGCCAGCTAAACAGATAGGCACATGGGCCCGGAGCCCCAAAGGTATTTAGGGATTTCAATGGGAGTTAGATGCCTGAATATCTCAGAGGACATTTTCAAAGATTCAGCCCAGGTGCCCCCTAACCCATCTAGGTGCAGAAGTTCCCACCAGCCGACATTTCCAAAGCAGCCTAGGGGCTGCTACCATTTTGCAGCTAAAGAGCTGCTCTGAGCCCTAGCACAAGCTGAAGCCCCAGAGGCTCTGTCCCAGAACTGGGATTTTTAAATTAATTGGAGGAATGTCTATCTTGCCCACAGGGCCTGATCCTGTAGGTGTGCTCTGAGCATGCCTAAGTCCTGTCAGACCCTGCAGCAGGAGGGTCCGGATGGTGGCCACCAATAGGTGGAGGGGTGGCCAGTACAGCACCTGCACAAAAGAGAGCAGGAGACCCAGGGAAATATAGGATGAGGCGAGGTAAGAGAGGGATGAAGTATGAATGGGGGTGGAAAGCAGGGGGTTAGTTGCTAGGGCACAAGCTCCCTAAGCAGATGACCTGGTTTAGATGCCTAACTCCAGGAAAAGGTTTGTGGCTGGGGATCTCAGGTGGATGGAGGCGCCTTTCTCTGGCCCGTCAGCTGATCAGACCAAGTCAGACCCTTAGATGCTTAAGCCCCTCTCCTCTGCCTGCCCCTCCCCCTGGCATTTTACTCCTGTATAGCTTAAGTGGTTCCTGCTCAGTTCTGAAAATTTTACTTCCTGGTGAGCTTCTAAAAATCCCTTTCTTAGGTGCTTAACTATCTCCATCCTCTAGTCTAGGGAGTGTAGGCAGCATAGCGCTGCCTAACTCAGGGCTGAAGTGTCCACTAGATAGTGGGGCACCTAGGGCGTTAGTCATTGCTCTGCTCAGCTGAGCAATGCAACCATCCCTTTAAAAAATCTGATCCTAACTAGAGAAGTCACTTTTGAAAATGGACGTAGCTGTTTAATGGCACGACTACACTTAAAACGCTGCATTGGCACAGCTGTGCTGCTGTAGTGCTTTACTGATGATGCTCTAAACTGAAGGGAGAAAGCTCTTCCTTCAGCATAGTTAATCCACCTCCCCAAGAAGTGGTAGAAGCTCTCCTGCCAACATAATACTGTCTACACTAGGAGTTAGGTTGGTATAAGTGGATTTTTCACACCCCTGAATGATGTAGTTATACCAATATAGGTCTGTAGTGAAGACCAGACCTAAGTCACTTAGGTCCAGATTCTCAAAGATTTTAGGTGCCTAAAATGGATAGTGAAGAGAAGCTAGTGACACAATCTTTAATAAGGGACTGACATGATAAGAGCAGTGGGAGCGGACACTTGTTTATGCATCAGCATATTGGTCAGACTGGAGGGGAGCAAGATGAGAGGTAGAGAGTCTGCAGTGGTGTAGGTGGGAGATGACAGTAAGTAGCAAAAAAACAAGAGAAGTGATGTACAGTATTGGAGAAATGTGGTGAAAGATGAAAGAGAAGGATTTTGTGACAAGCCATACTGGGGGGCGAGGGGAGGCTAAATGTAAAGAAAGAAATATTTAATTAAGAGAAATACATTTAAAAACAGGACTTTTTACTTTTAAAATAAGTACTGGGAGCATAAGCTTTCGTGGGAAAGAACCTCACTTCTTCAGATGCAAGAAGTGAGCTTCTTACCCACGAAAGCTTATGCTCCCAGTACTTCTGTTAGTCTCAAAGGTGCCACAGGACCCTCTGTTGCTTTTTACAGATTCAGACTAACACAGCTACCCCTCCGATACTTTTAAAATATGATTCTTAATCTCAATGCTTTCTAGTCCACAAAATAATTAAAAATCATTTTCCATTTCACTCTCCTGCCAAGTCCCACATCTACAGTTCTTTGTTTCCCCTGTTACAGTTGCAAAAAATACTAACATTTCACACACCGACTATAAACCACTACGGAGACAGATCAGATCAGCATTACAGCAGGAAAGGGGCAGCATCAGAAGATAACCCCTAACTCCACAGATCTCTACAGCACCCAGCTTAGCCATACCTCCATTTCTATAAAACATGCATCTTAACAAGAGAAAAATAAAACAGAAAAAATAAAGCCCTTGTTGTTAAACCAGCAAGAAAATTTCTATAAGCATTTGCAATTTCACCTCTCATGGTAGTGCCTGACCTTCAGAGAAGACAAAAAGGCTGCTGAAACAGAGAACTCTGGGAAATGTAGTTCATAAAAACAAAACTAAAAGGAAAACTACAAATCCCACAATTCAAAGAACATACATGTTGAAAAACTGAGCAAAGAAAAAAAGAACAAGATTTCAAAACACCAGGGAAACCAATCATACAGTCCTTTCTCTCAAAGTCTAGGGGGAGAAATTCACATGAGTACTAGTACTAAGGGGTGGCATTTTGGCCAATCTTGAGGTGGCACATTCTGGCCACCCTGCCGTGTTTTTTTTTTTTTTTGGCTAGCCTGGTCAGCAGCTCCGGCTCCCGCGCTCCGCCAGTCTCAGCCCAGCCCTGCAGGGGCACGGACACCAGCTCGGGGGGGGCAGGAACTAGCGATCCCCGCTGCTCACCGTGCCGCCGGGCTCTCCGGGGACGCACCACTCCCCGCCGCCTGCACTGGCCTCCGCCTCCTGTGGCGCTCTGAGCCCAGCCTGGCCGAGCCGCCTTTAAAGGAGCGGCTGAGCCAGCACCTCCTGCAGCCCCTGGGAGAGGCACCCCACGGCCAGAGGGGGGAGCCCCTCTCGCCCGGCTGCGAGCGGGCTGCAGCGCCTGGTTGCCCATGGGCGGAGGGAGCGGGCGGGCGCTGCCCTTCACCCCCCTTGCAAGCAGCCTTGACCGCCTTCCACGCGCTCCCTGCAGCTGCCATTTTTTTTTTGCTTTGGCAGTCCGGACACCTTTTTTGTTGTTGTTGTTGCTTGGGGCGGCAAAAAAGCTAGAGCCGGCCCTGCTCAAAGCTGTGGTGGTTCAGTCTGTGTTCCTGAGGAGCTCTGCTGCCTTCTTTTTCTGATGTTTTGTGGGCTCTGGGGGGACTTATTCTCCAGAGCGGGGAAGTGCAGAGTTCATGAATTCCTAAAGTGAATCCAGTGCTCACTCCCTTCAAAGAGCATGACTGACCCCTGAAGATGTAAGGGCAGCTTTATAATATTCCCTTCTTTCCAACAAGAGGGGGCCAGCGGAATGGGAGGTGAATCAGCGAACATAGCCAAAGCAGAGGCCCCAGTGTGACGTTGCCCTCTATATGATTTTTTTAAAATATGCTAATGAGCACGAATATAATGTAACTGGAAGATGCTTCATGCAAATAGTCTCTTGTAAGATATCATTACAAAGCTTATAATCTACTGAGTGTGGTCATCAATTTTGCAACAGAAAAGCTTCAAAAACAGACTCCAATGAGAAACTGATGAACTGGAATTAATTTGCAAACTAGATACCGTTAACTTGGGCTTGAACAGAGACTGGGAGTGGATGGGTCATTACACAAATTGAATCTGTTTCCCCATGTTAAGTATCCTCACACCTTCTTGTCAACTGTCTGAAATGGGCCATCTTGATTATCACTACAAAAGTTTTTTTTCTCCTGCTGATAATAGCTCATCTTGATTAATTAGCCTCTCAGAGTTGGTTGGGCAACTTCCACCTTTTCATGTTCTCTGTATGTGTGTATATATCTTCTTACTATATGTTCCATTCTATGAATCTGATGAAGTGGGCTGAAAAAAGCCCATGAAAGCTTATGCTCAAATAAATTTGTTAGTCTCTAAGGTGACACAAGTACTCCTGTTCTTTTGGTATCATTCTTGTATCTGAAACTAGAAATAGTAAATATAACTCTGAGGGCCTATTATAATTATGCAAAGTGTGGGCCATTAATGGTGGCTTGGAATCTTGATGGCTCCCATTAAACAGAACAATTGGTTGTAAATGGCTCTGTTTACTTGTAAATCCTCCTGTATACCTGTGTGCTGGAAAGTGGGTGATCATGTCACCTGCACTGGAATCCATCTTTAACCTGTTGCTTTTCCATTTAGAAGGAGGGGTGGGAACCCAGAGAGGTACAAAGGATTCCCGCCTTATGCAAAAGATATATAAGGGGGTGGAACAGCACAAAGGGGGGTGCAGTCATGAGAAATCCCTTAGTTACCACCTGAGCTGGAACAAGGACTGTACCTGGGGAAAGGATTGGGCCCAAACTAGAAAGGAGTCTAGTTTGTGAAAGAAGCTTATTGGAACATCTCTGAGGGTAAGGTTTCATCTGTAATCTGTTTCTTACTGTATTAGGCTTAGATGTGCGTGTTTTTGTTTTATTTTGCTTGGTAATTTACTTTGTTCTGTCTGTTATTACTTGGAACCACTTAAATCCTACTTTTTATATTTAATAAAACCACTTTTTGCTTATTAATTAACCCAGAGACGTAATTAATACCTGGGGGAGCAAACAGCTGTACATATCTCTCTATCTGTGTTATAGAGGGCGAACCATTTATGAGTTTACCCTGTATAAACTTTATACAGAGTAAAACTGATTTATTTGGGGTTTGGATTCCATTGGGAACTGGGTATCTGGGTGCTAGATACAGGAGCACTTCTTAAGCTGTTTTCAGTTAAGCCTGCAGCTTTTGGGGGACGTGGTTCAGACCTGGATCTATGTTTGCAGCAGTCTAGCATATCTGGCTCAAGAAGACAGGGTACTGAAGTCCTGAATTGGCAGGGAAAACGGGCCCAGCACATCAGGTGGCAGTCTCAAGGGGGTCTCTGTGACCCAAACTGTCACACCCAGCTACCCGAGTTGTGAAGGCCAAAAACTGGGTTAAAAAAATCATTAGCTAAGTTCCTGGAGTAGAGGTCCATCAATGGCTATTAGCCTAGATGATCAGGGAGGCACCCCATGCTGCGGGTGTCCCTAAACCTCTGACTGCCAAAAGCTGGGATTGGACGACAGGGGATGCATCACTCAGTAAATTGCCCTGTTCTGTTCATTCCCTCTGAAGCAACTGGCACTGGGGTCTGCGGGAAGACAGGATACCGAGCTAGATGGACCAGAGGTGCTGGAACTATGGGTGCTGCTGCATCCCATGGCTTGAAGTGGTTTCCATCATATACAGGGTTTACAGTTTGGTTCAATGGCTCTCAGCACCCCCACAACACAAATTGTTCCAGCACTGTTAAGATGGACATTCTTCTGACCCAGTATGACCATTCTTATGAGCTATTCCCTTTATCTGACAGCAAGTAGATGGTGGTAGCAGTCACTGGGACAAGCCAGGAGTGGCCAGGACTGAGCCAAAGTGCCATGTGGTTCTCCATCCCCTCGCCCCCACTTAGGGAAAACTGTTCCTGGATGCCTCAGTTGTATGGCAGTTGTGCTCCCCTCCGGCCTGCTGTCCCTTATTCTCAGTCTCTCCCCAGGTAGTCAGTGGCCTTACTGAGGCTGCAAAGAGCTTTGGGCTGCCTTCCTGTCCTCCAAGCTGTCTGGAAGAGTCTAAGGGAGTGTTTCTTGGCATTGGTCCTGTAAGAGAGCAGGACAGTTGCTGTGGTGCTGATGGTATTGGCAGTGGAGGAGAAATGGATGAGGTTCCCCCTGAAGATGCCTGAGCTCTGGGAGAGGCTGCTGCACATGTGGAATTTTTGGGAGACAGGAAGGGGACAGGAGGCTGGGGTTGCCAAGAGGGTGACAGGCTAATTAGTATAATTAGGCCCATGATGCCCTGTGACCAGACTGGGGAAAAAGACTGACATGGGGCAGCCTTGTGGGTTTTTTTCAGGGCGTTAGCTCTGTCAGCAAGAGAGGCTCCCAGTGGAATAGCTGCGCCGTCCAGTGTGAGCTAAGCAAGTGGTTCAGCTAGGGTGACCAGACGTCCCGATTTTATCGGGACTGTCCCGATATTTCCTTGTTTGTCCCGCGTCCCGACCGACGTGCGGTCGGGACACTGGACAAACAAGGAAATGCTCCAGAGCCTGGAGCCCGGAAGTGCTCGCGCCCCACCACCGGCCCCAACCCCGCCCCCTCCTCCCCCGATTGGCTCCCTCCCCGAATCCCCGCCTCTTCCCCGGGCTCACCATTCCTCCCCCCTCCACAAGCGCTGGAGGGAGGCCCGGGAGACTCAGGGGAAGCGCGGGGCCGGGGTGAGTAAGAGTCCGGCCTGGTCCCGAGCAGGCAGGACTCAGTTGGGTGGTAGGGAGAGGAGGGGGGCGGCCCACGGGGCCGGGGCGGGGGTGTTCTCCCCCCCGGGCGGGGGGTCTGGGGAGCCGCCGCTGCTGCAGCTCCCACTGCCGCGGGGGGAGGAAGCGGCCATGGCGCTTGGCAGCTGCGGCTCTGGCGCCCCCGAACCCCCCGAGCCGGGGCCTGCTGCGGGGACCCAGTAGCGTGCACGCTGCGCCCA